GCCCGGGAGGGAATTGCCATTATGAATTATTACATATTTTCCCGAGGGATAAGTCGTAAAAATATAGTGACGCTTTGTTAATATATATATATATATACACCTGAAATGTCAGATAGTAACTTTTCGCAACATTATATTACATCAATTCAAGAATATCCTGTGCGCGTTATATTTTTTTAATTGATCATATATTATAAATAATACTTACATTATGTCAAATATGCTATAATCTCTTTTTGAGCTCGATTAGTCTAATATATTTTCCATCATGTTCTGAATAATCGTTCGAAAAATCAAAGCCTCAATCACCGATCAAAAACTTATACGTTAAGTATCCAATAATTCCGACTAATACTTCAAAGCTTGTAACGTATAATTAAAATTTTCCGGGACTTCACGTCATTCTTCATTCTTGTCTATGTGCATGCTAAATTTCAACTTTGTGCACGCGACAGATAGCAAGCTTGCGAACTTTAGCCATGCTTAAAGTTCTGAAGCGTCGTGATATAGTGCGGCGGTTATCACAGTAACTGTATTTATGATCTCGTGAATTTATACGCAATATTTACGTCGGTTGTTGGACGCGTAGCGGCTTTTCGCAGGGAGCTTGAAACATTAATATCACGCACCGGTTGTGCGCGCATATTATTCGATGCAGAAATATCGTGTTAAAAATATCCGCGTTTGGTGCATTTCGAACGAAATTTAATAAAACACGAGACATCAAATCTGGATGTATTTATTGGCTCGTCATTTCCCCCGAGGATACGATGTTTATTAAATCATAATTAATGCCCGCATTTCACCGATATTACATAATTATTTTACAAAATCTCCCGCGCGTGAGGTAAAATGCTGTTTAATTCTCGTTTGAATATCAACTTCGATCTCTCGATTAACGCAAGCCGCATGATACATCATAGCGTTTCTAACTCCGACCTGACGATCAGGGTACACCATTATTGGGTCAGGGCACGATAAGTAAGTTACGTGCTACTGAAGTTTCTCGTGGACTGAGAACGGGCGTTTCTCACGACACAGCGTTTAAGAAGCCGCTGTTAGGAATGGCTCGTTTAATATCCGCGCTCCCGGGATTAGGTGGGATAATCTGCTTAATGCTCATTTAAGAGGCGTCCTCTTAAACGCACAAAGGAATTTCTCGACGATCCTTGGTAAAAAATTCAATGCTTGGACGAGTGAGAAATAGTCAACGGTTGCATTCGTGCTTGACAGTGTATAGCTCTTCTCTCTTTCTCTCTATCTCTCCCTTTTCTTGCTCTCTGTTCGTAGATTTCTTCGCGTGTCGCCATCCTCTTGTTTGTCTTGTACTCTTCTGCAACGGCGAAGAAAAAGTTGGAGAAACTCGATGGCCGAAAGGTAATTGCGGGAACAATACCCTGATATCCTGCTTGTTAGATTAATTGCATTTGGAATTTGCAATCCGCTTTTTCTGCTACGCTGCGTTGCGTCTAGCTATTGTGCTCGTTGAATCCAATTTTGATTTTATTTCTTCTCTCTCTATACACGCAAATGTATCTATATGTATATGTACTCACACAGCGCGTTTCATCCCTATCTAATATATCCATTTTTTTACGCATTGTGTTAATTCTCCTCGATATATGTATATAACGGTTCAATGTAGATTTTATTTTTCAATGCTCATGTTATGCTGAAGCGGTGAAAATGTATATCATGAAATATCGGTTTTTCGATCAAGACGAGCACGCGATGATATATCCATTATATCAGAAATGTCTTGAAATGTGCTTGATGTAAGATTTCTCTTTTCATTTGGAAAGATTAAGAACGAAAGTAGATAAGTAGATATCGCGTAACGTGCAAAGAATTGCATTTTGCTGAGCTAATAGTTCACGGCTAATGCTGCAGCTCTACCGTCTGTTTTAGAGCTGTTTTCCGAACATCAATGAATCGTTGCATCCGCCCTTTATTTATTCATCTGCTTTGCGGAAATAGTTTGCTACACCGGACACTGTTTGCAAGCACTTCTGGATCGAACGGAGGAATATGCGGTCGTGTACAGGTTGCGGAACAATCTTGTGTTTCCCGCCTTTCTATCGAACTAATTGCTCTTGACCCTTTTAACTCGAAACTGCGCCGAATTCTGGTTTCTGCACTATCGTAGAGTTACGTACAAAATGTATACTCATTGATTTATTGAGAAAAAAATAAATTTGAAATGTAAAGTTTCAAGGAGATTTATATTCCAGCTGCAAAGTAAGATTATATTAAACACTTTTATATATATATTATTAATATATATATATGCATATATTATGCAAATATATTATACGTATGCAAAAAAGTTGCAAAAAAGAGATTCATAATACAATTACAAAATCTCGCAACCTTATTTAGAATCGTATTCTACACGTTTATTGATTTTCGCGACACTATTCAATCGCACACACTCTCGTTGAAATTGTGCTCCAGCCATACTGTGAACTGGCAATCGGGTACTCGAATTGTGGTTATAATTTTCAAATAGCCACATTTAATAGGTCAGTTTGCACTTACGACATACTGAAAGAAGTGTTTCATAAAGCGACTGCGAAATTTACAGAGTTAAGATGTACCGTTTATGTTTGTCGAAGATGAAAGCTTAACACATCGAAAATGAACCGACACATCTGTCAATTAGAGTATGGTATATTAGATATACCGGTTTATGTACCATAACATAAATTAAACAGCATTTGCTTTACGTTTATCGTCTCGCCTGAACTTTCATAAAAGTTCAATCGATAATGAACTGGGCTTGGCTGTTCCGTCCAATGTTCGTTTCAGTAATATTTATACAAAGCGTCCAATGTTCGTTTCACTAATATATTTATTTTAATTTCTGGACGTTTTAAAATTTTTTTAATTTGCTTTGTTTTTTACTACTAGCTTTTTAAAAATTATATTTATTGTAAAAAATATTTTTGTATAATAGTGAGAGAAAAATATAGATAGAGAAGTATGTCGATTCACAAGACAAGATAATGTATTATATTCAGTTTTTTTCGACTTTATTTATTTAAAATAAACAATGTGTAATTAAGTAGTGAATTTTTGTACTTGTTCATCATCAATGTAATTTTGAGAAAAGCGAAGGAATTGTCTTTCACGATAGAAGTTGAATCTATTGCGAAAGTTGTGATATAATGAAATGTAATTTACTAGTATCGCGGTTACTTTTGATTTTACCGATATAAACTTCATTACGATCTCATTCTGATATCTATTCTTGCAAGAAACTACTCATTTCCACTCGATTCATCATACATACGAGAAATCGAGCGCTGATAGTGAGTGGGCTGTGTATGTGGCTTAACGCCTCCTGGATTTGCACCCAACGTTATCGCTTTAAGTGCCGCGTTCTCGTCTCCCCTAATCTGCCATCAAACGCCGTTAACCCTCTGAAATACCAATGACATTTGCCAACTACAGATATTATCATACGAAGGAAATCAATCCAACGTGATTGGATGGCAACGGAAAACTCTTCGAATTACCGCGATTCAATGATCAGCAGCGTGCTGATATTATCTTGATGATATATACTTGTACGAGCCACATAGACTCAACATACATTCTCATAAGACGTGATCGAGAAGTAATTTCATCTTTTGTGAGAAATTATTCGCGCAAACCAATATATCGATTTGTTTCTCGTTTGGAGAAATTATTATTCGTGACTACCCATTGCAGATTCATAGATATGAAATTTATCTAACATAACAATTATGTAGAAATGCTTAAGCGAATAATATATCTTCAAGTTCAAGTGTACTATGTAATTCATCACGTAGATTCTAAAACTGCAAGGAAGACATTTACGAGGGTTTTATAGACGGAATGCACATTAGTAAAAGAGCCAAGACTTTCATGCCAAGTTTAATGCAGAAGGCTTTGAAGCAAGAAGCTCCGTATCTTTCTTCGCGAGACAAGGTTTGGAAACATTGGCCGTTCGCGTGAGTCGCTAACGCGGTTTGCTTCCGCGCAGAGAAGGAACTTGGAAACTCGTGCTTTCTCTAACGGGGACGGTAGGAAACTTTTCGTTGGAATTTATTATATATTTTTGACTCAGTTTTTAATGAAAAACTGTCCCGATTCCCATGGTGATTGCGACAACCTCACGCGTGCTTTTAACGAAATTTGAGAAATTTGCCAACAATTTTTATATCAAACAAAGAGAATGTGAAAAATCTATGCAACATCATAAGTAGTAAATCATCATGATGAATAATTTTATTAACAATAAGTTATTGGAGGCGACAGAAAATATGAAAATATTGATAAAAAATGTTGATAATTGTCTCGTATTCTCTTTTATTTGGCATTCCATAATTTATTTCATTATTATTATTCTTCAAAACGTAATCAAATAAATTAAAACAAATGTCACCTCTATTCATTGTCTCAACATTTAGAGAGTGAGGTCGACGTGATAAATATAAATTCAACCATCCAAAGCGCAAATACCGCACATCAAAACGACCTCAGCGTCTCGTTTATCACGATCGTCGTTGTCTTTGAAAACGGAACTCGGTCACGTTCGAAATCTGCGGTTATACCAGCTTTAGAGCAGAGATAGAGGAGCGAAATTTTCGCGACAAAGGGATCGTACATAGACGACAGAGTAAAATAAAACCTCAAGCGAACTAAACCAATTGCGTGTCACCGTCTGCACTAATCCGACTTTGAACTCATCGAGTGTAAAGCCCTACAAGAGACAGCTGGTTTTTCGCGCTTGAAGCGTATTTCTTAGACGGTGGTTCTAGGTATCTCTCACTATTCTTTAAAGATTTAGGAACAATATATACATGCAACATCTATTTGTGTAAGTTTCAACTACTACATCGACAAGAGATTAATGGTATTAAGTATTCTTAATACATGCTGGACACAGAGTGATAGAGCAAACTGCAAAGAGACCGTCCGAGGACTGTGTTATAGCGAAAGCTGAAGAAATAAAATCGTTGTTTATTTAATACCAAAGGGTTCGTCAAGAGGGTCACCGCGGCTCTTAGGTGTTTCAGGTTAAGTGTCTGTGTATCCTCGAGGTCATCACCGTCTTCTCCCAAAAGCGATGACGTTATTTGAACCGACGATTGTCGCGACGGCTTGCTCGTCCGCTCGTCCTGCCTGATTCTCGGAATCCTACGATGATCTCCGTCCTTGCTCTCATCCTTGCGATCTAGTTTGAAGCGTCTGCTGGAGAACGGGCATGCCATTTTGCAGATATACCGCTTTATTGTAGTCTAATAAGAGGATCTTCCAGATTATCAATGAAAGAGCGAGCGCGCGCTATTAATTAATGATGAACATGCCGCGCGTTGTATATCAGCGATCAGCTGGTGGCAACCCGAACTCTCTGAACGCGCTCTTCCTTAACTGTATATACTTTTTGATCGGACCTATTAGCGAATCTTGTATGAACGTCTCGTACTTTTCTACGCTATCATTCGCAACCTTGTCATATCGCTGTCCTAAACGGCGCGCGAACACGTGAGACCGATCCGCGAATCTGCCGTTCTTAGAGTCCTGATGATCGTTTCCTCGATCGTCGCCGTGAAAATGTTGCTGATGCCAGTGTTAATGATGTCCGTCGAGGGTCCCGTCATTCTCAATCGCTCGTTATCGCTTACTGCACGTAGTGGAGAGAAGCCTTTCGCCTCGCAACGCGCTATTAGCGCGCACGTTATCCGGCGTCATTTACGACCGCCGTCGGGCCGGACGCGGCGCACGCGGTTGCATATTAACGTGGAGAACTCTCACGTCACAGGGGAACTCTCGGAAATCTGTTTATCTATAAAATTTATATTCTCTTTATTTTCCTTCACCACGTTTCGCGGAGTCGTATCTTTCGTCTCGTTGCTCTCGCAATTCTCGGGACGTCTAAACTGCAATCCGACAACCGTAATTCGCGCGCGGATTCACCCCGTTGGGGACGCGGTGGATGGCACGATAAATACACGACGTGACGACGCGCTATGTACGTTGCCGTGCTGGAGCGCGTAGCGCCATACTGCTCGCGGATTGACCGAGGCGCAACGAGCAACGCTCCGAGGCGTTGGGGAGGAAAGAGCGACGAGGAAAGCACCTAAGTGAGGGTGAGTCGACGGCGTAAGGGGTATGCGGAGGGATGAAGCGCCACGATGGAGGGCAACGGAGACGCCTGCGCGTGTTTTCCAACCTCCCTCTCTCAAACTCCACCGCGCTTTCCGTCCTCTCTTCTCGCAGGTCGTAGAGAAGGAAATCCATCTACCTGCCAGCCTGCCTGCCAGCCAGCCTGTCAGCCTGCCTGCCAGGCTGCCTGCCTACCTCGCTTGTTTGCTTACCTGGTTGACCTGCCTTGCAGTTAGCTGCTAGTATTTCCGTATGGTTTACTACCTCTTGGAGATTTTCAGAAAATTTAGAGTGTATCTCGTTATTCATTATTAACTTCTGTAATTTTGCCGCAACGGCGTATCTAACTGACAGATGAGAACTTTGTATGAGCAGCATGTATTCTCATTTATTTTAGAAATTTATTGAACATTAAATGTAATAACATTAATGGAACGTAAATTGCGCGCGGTACGAGTCAGTCATTAAAATTGGAAAGACAGACAGACAGGCGTATTTAACGATGATAACGATGATGACTAATTGAATACATAGTGAAAAAATAATCTGTCATGGAACAAATATCATTATTGAAGCAAATTTATTTTCTATGCAATTAATGAATGCATGTATAAGAGTTTCAGCTTTGTTGTTTATATTGTATAACGTTTTCTATCTCAATTATTTTTTATCCACTTTACCTTAGAACTTTACAATTTCAATTTTTTCCATAATCAAGATCTTAATGCCATTATCTTTTGCATCTCTTGAATTAAATTGGTAGGTTAATATTATGAGTTCGTGTTAGACAATATTTATCGCGAAAATTGAAGTATCGTAACTATACATTTGTGATAGATAATTTCTAGAATTTCTACAAGTATCAGAAAAAATATAATAACGTATTTCCAATTAAAAACAGTTATAACAAAGATAAAGCTAAAGAGAGAATGATGGAAAGAGAACTTTTTTTACAATTATAGAGAAATTAAAAATTTTTTTAACATTTGAACATATTTACACCGACTTACACAATGACTAATACTAACATTCTGCCAGAGAAATAAACGTTAACTGAAATTTAATTAATCCAAAATACCAAACGTATAGTTTTAACGCAAAAAACGTAAATATATAAGTTGTTACACTGTCTTCTAATAAAATCTTTCTCTTCTGAGAAAAACAATAAAATCTACTGCAAATTATTTGCAGTAGATTTTTTATTTTTCTTTATTTTTATATGATTCTCTTTCTACACTGTAGAACTCTCTTTTGTAAAACATAATCATAAAAAAATTATATACTTGTATTTGTAGCAATACAATTTTATTGTACTGTATTTTTAAGTGACTTGATAACACTAGCAATAAACTAATTTTAACATAATGCTATATACTTAATGTTATATTGTTATATGTATAAATACCTGCTTTGATGCTAAACTCATAGCACTGATAATTAGTATAATTTTAATGGAAATTAATTATTTTTATCTTATTATCCTTTTTTTAGAACGTCTTCTCAATTATAAATCAAAATGTTAAGAACAAGTTGCACCAGATTATTGATGAATCGAGCAGGGAGCATGAAGAATGGTAGAATGGATGACTTCGCGGTAACGAAGTTTGTCCAGCACTTTTCTGTCCTGTCTTCATGCTACAAGCGGCGCGGTCGGATATCCATTTCGATGTTCGACAATTTGGAGCGATCGATCTGTACCATTATCATGAGGAACATTGCTTCGTGCCGCAGCTGAATGTCAGCGGTCCATTCAAGAGGAAGTCGGTTGGCCGAGTCATTACTCAGGGGATTCCCGACGGAAATGCGCTGTAAATTACAATTACTGCAGGGATCTGCGAAAAATGTTGACAGAAAAAAGCTATATTTTACGAATATACGTCGTAATAATATCGGAGTATTAGCGTCGAAGGATGTTTTCTAATTAAGAAAATATATAACACTTAACGTCTTCAACGCGTGTTGCCTTTGAAATATGTAAGCGCCGATACGCTGCAAAGATGCTACCGAGAAAATAATCACCAGATTATAATAGAAAGAGGGCAATAAGGATATAAATATCTCTTGAGGATGTACGTATTGAATATTGCAGATATAGCATATTTAAATCAGCAATTCGTAATCCGTTCATATTTCTCGAATATTCTCAGGCGCGTAGAATTATGTTTACTCTCTATATATGTAAATGAGAGAGAGAGAGAGATTTATAGTTTGTTATTTATTACTTTTAAAAGAGAGAGAGGAAAGTGTTTTTAATTATAAATTATTATATTAAATTAAAAAAATAAAAACTGGCATAAAATGTTTTTATCTGCAATATTTAATAATATATACGTAAAACTATAACAACGATATATTATTTAAAAATGATAAATTTAGTTAATATTCAATAGACAGAAAAATATTATAATATTATTATGTAAACCATGAAATATATTATAATATTGTATATGTAAAATAAATGTACATGTAATGCATTCAATTGTGGCGATAAATGCCACAAGCATAAAATATTACAAAGTAAAATATATATAAAATAAAAGTACGAAATAAAAATATATAACAAGTAACGAATGTTAAGGATATCGCGACCGGTGATACAAAAGAATAAATAAACAAGTAAGCGTCTGACATGACTAAAGGAAATTTTGATTGCTGTAAATAGAAAAAAGCGAAAGTACCGGAGAATAATAGAGAGACTAATAACCGAAAAATAAAAATAAGGTCGTGGAAAAATCGAGAGAAGGAAGACAATGCGCGGCCTCGAGAGGCAGAGAGATTTAGACTCGCGTCCGCGATAGATGTTTTATCTCGGTGGAGAGAACTAATTGTAATCTCGGTGTCTCAAATAAATCCTAGTAAAGACCATATACAGTTTAACACCTGATAATAATTCCGTCTGAATTATCCTCTCCCGATTCGCGATATTGAAAGGACAGTAATAATTACCGAATTCACGCATTCGCGCACGCACGCATTTAAAATCAAACGATAAACCCAAACAATTAACGGCATGGCCGCAGACAACTGGTTCGTTCGCGGTCAAAGAAATATGTAATATTTTGGTAACCAAAATTGTATTACATCATAACCATTAGCGACTGTGTTACATTTTTGGCTGCGCATCGAAACATTGCCGATGCGATTTGTAGAATGCATTTTCCATTTGCTATATTAACTTTATTCGTCAGATGTGAAATTTGACTACATTCTCATGGTTTCCTCTCTCATGATATAAAAAATATTTTTTATTTTATTATTTCTCTCTGCTAAATTTATTCACTGTGAAGCCTACATTTTTACTTGCTGAGTTCGTGCGTATTTATACGATATTTCGCCAACATTACACGCTAACATTACGTGTTTTTTCCTTGCATACAATTTTAGAATACGTTGTATGCATATATTTTGTTTATACTGCGAGAAAAATCTTTATTCGTTTAAGATGAAGATAAAACGTGCCTGTTTCAAAAACAAATTTATAAAACTACAAAGATGTAACAGTAATATCATTTAAAATAAAACAAAATATTTATTAAAATTCTAAATTTCAAATTTTTATCTTTTTAAAAGTGTGTTTGCACGAAAAAAATTAAATTTGAAATTTTTATTTAAAGAATTTATTTATTTAATGTTTTCATTCAATCCATGATTTATAACAAAGCTTAATCTTTTAAATTAACAACAGTAAGAATACAGTTTTATATATGACTTACATATATACAGTGCCATTGAGGTATGCAAAGTTTCTGTATTTTCTTTTCTTCTTAGCGAGTTTCAATTTATCCTGAGATGCATCTGCGATGCAGTTGAGGTGCGCCGTGCAGCTACTGAGCTAGTAATATTTAATCAAGAGTGCTCGCTGCTTTGTATTTCTTTTTATAAGAAAGGGAAATTTATTCCATTTTCTTAGAAAATTATGTAAACTATCGTCGACAAACACGTGTAGAGAAATATTAAAATTCTAAGTAGTAATTGATCAAAACGCTCTTAACGGTCGATTGCAGTTAAGTGTTTTCGGAGAAGCTCAAATATAGCTTTTGATAGCTCTTGGCGAAATGCCACAGCTTCCAGGATCGCGATACAATGATGAGTTCTTTATCACGCTACAACTTTCGTAACCGAAATACATATTCGTAAAATGATAAGAAAAACTAACAGGGAGGTTTAGAAAGAAATAAATTGTTTATGCTGAAAACATTTGTTCTGTTTAAAGAAGGAGAACGAGTTTATACATCAATGATAATAGTCAACATAAACGTAGAAATTATCTTAAGCAGAAGCTCATAAAACTTGGTGATCAATAACTGTCTGGTGATTAATAACTTACGAGCGTTGACGGTAGGTTATCGAGTCGTATCGTTATTGCGACGATAAAAGTACGCTTTTTTATTGACAATTTCGATTCATGTTAAATTCAAATGTCTCTTGTAAGAAACGAAATAAAATTGTTATTTTCTCTTAAATTTACGTGTAAACTATAATGTGTAATTAAATATAACTAAGATATAAGATAATAATTTATCCATCTAATGTTATAGGAGCTATGATATGGGGCTATATATCGTGTAAATATTCGTATGCAATATTCGTTTATACAATGTATATGTATATTACGTAAAAGTATATGAGTTATTTACTGAAAAACTAGCCGTCGTCAATATCAATTACCAACTAAAGCCAAGTACAAATTGTTACAACCTCGCTGACAAGTGAGCACGTCGAAGAAGCGCGCCGTATAATAGTTTGTAATATATTTTCTATCTTTTCAGAATTTCATGAAACACTTTTCCAGAAAATAGCGGCGAAATATTTTGTATTCTCATCGCATCTTGGAATTGATTACTATTGCGATATATCTAAGAAAAGCACTCGATACGTATTGCACGAGCATGATTCTGTGAAAGTGCGAGTCATACTTTCACAGTAATATAAATCGATTAACCTTGCTGTTTATTCGTATACCAGTTTATTT